CGAGGTTAATAGGAAGTCGATCCTGGGTGCTAACTTTTTATTTGCTGCATAGTATAATTTTTAACAGCAGGGTATTATGCGAAATACAACCACAACGATAACGAAAGAAAGAAAAAAACAAGAGAAAACGAAGGAAGAACGAAGGACCTGCATGGTGTGGTGGTGAGAGCGTTAGCCGTCAAAAAGGGTAATAGCGCGTTCGTTCCCCACTGCGCACACCTCCACTCCGGAGTTTTGCAACTATCTCAGCATTCTTAACTCTTTTATTTACTGCTTTTTTCTTCTTAATGGCAGGTTATGTTCCGAAATATAACTCGTATGAAATGCTGAGATATTTGCAAAACTCCGGACCACAGGTGTATGCAGTGGAGAACGAACACGCGCTGTTGTCCTTACCGGGGAGCAGCGCACTTCACCACTACACCATCCGGGTCCTTCGCTTTGCGTGTATCTCAGCATACGAGTTATATCTCAGCATTATTGTAGTTGTGTTTCATCTCAATATAGTGCATGTAGGCAGTTGAAATGCAGAAGTTTGAGGCTTTTCTGCTTCATCAACAGAAAGTTTGACGAAGAAATTGCTACTTTCGCTCGCACATTTATCACGAATGATTGATCTCCCAGTTCTGAAAACCGTTTCGGAGTAATGTGTTCCACTGAACTAATCAATATACTGTTTGCCTAAGCAGAGCATAGTTGCTCATTGGTAACGAGTACGGTTCATTTTGATTTTATCATTTAATTAGACTTAATGGACATTGGATATGCTTCAACATATGCATCTTTGGCAAGTGCAGTTGGTTATTTCTTGCTGTAATCTTTTAACGCTTCTTTTCGGAAATTTGATAATTCGGATGGAAGACAGTGGTAGCCTGCCACTCGTAGGCCTTGCGTTGGTATAACATCCTAAAAGCTCCTAATTATAGACGTTCACCGACAACGTTCTAACTGCTTTAGCACTAATATAATTTTCGTTTGTGTCACTGAATACGATATCTTCTGAACTGCTACGCAAGGTTCTTAACAGAACTCTTCATTTGAAGTATGTGACAATTGTCCCCTTTATGCCTGGTGGTTTTGCTGTATTTCGGCAAAATAGCCTTGTACAAAATATATGATGTTTCGTTCTCCTATGTAACTTCATGATGACGTTCACATCGGTCAGGCAAAACTTTCATTTAAGCATTGTAGATTTCAAAATTCCGATGTAACATTTTCTACTTCGAGACACAGTTGTCCGAGAGGAGAAATTTTGGGGCTGTGGGTTACGATGACAGGTCTTTGTTAACATAAAGAACTCCGAAAAGAGCGAAACCTTATAGTTTTTCTCATATTGTCGGTTTGGAAAGAAGTTTTTTTAGACTTCTTAAGGAGTCGAATTCTATTGCTGAAATTATAGTTGATGATCTTGCAAAAAGTGCCTTGTTCTTTCTAGAACGTCTTCAAGTATAAGTAGAACCCTTGTGATAGGTCTTCCTTATTTACCTGGTATTAAAGCGTGAAAAACTAAGAATGCCAGAATTTTGCTCTAGGATTTTCCAGCCTTAAAGGTCCAATTGGAATCGCTTTTTTCCAAGACATCGATGTTAATAGCCATGCATCGTTACTAAAGCATTCTACGTAGAATACTTTCTTCAGTAAAAGAAGAAGGTTAAAGATAATGTTATGTAGTCTTGGCGAAACCAATGACGTCGTACTTAATCTTATTATATTGCATCATGAGATCTTCAAGAGACGATTAAGATACTAGCCAGATTGTGTTGCAAGCACAACACAACCGCTGAGGGATCCACTGGTGGAGATGTTTTATAGAAGAACTGAAATATCACCACGGCGTACTTAATTCACACTAACTCTTCACACAAGTGCTTTAATAAAAATATGTTTAAAAAATTGGTAGTGAAAAATTTTAGCACGTGCTGAAACCATCTGATGGCAATTCTATTCTTTCGCATGCGAAAGCTTTGTTTTCAATGTTCTCAGAAGTAGAAGACAGTAATCACCCTACTAAATCAATTCTTCTTAAACAATAATACTTGTGGAGAACAAAGGCCAACACTCGGGTTGCAACTCCTTGGAACAAAAGGGCAGGAACCGCACGCGGGGCCGATAGTGTAGATCTTCTCTCCGACTACATTTATTCTGGAACGAAATGTATAGTTGCTAGTCGAAAATAGGCCTTCGAGTCAGTTCTCGGCACCGAGTAATCACTAGCTTTTAGCAGAATGCTCGACTTCGTGAATAAATGCCACGCGGGACTTTTCGTAGTAGTCACAAGGCAATACCTCAAACTTGGGTAATTAAACCTTTATATACATAAATGCAACAATAATAACATGATAGTAACTATAGAGAAGTAATGGTAGAGGAATGAGACAAGTTAGAGCTCTGAGGTGCTAAGGCCTGTAGTGAAGTGAGGCTAACAATGAGGCAATGGCATTAAAACATTGTAATACCATTAACACAATATTAACAATAATAATGAGATTATAACGAAGTATCCTTTGCTTAACCGTAAGCGATGCCGCGCCGCGTCTATTCGCGGCCGGCGCGGCGGCTGAGGGAGACAGTATGCTGAGGGCGGAGGGAGGAGGCTGTATGCCGCGGCGATGGAGACAGTATGCTGAAGTGGTGAGGGTTACAGACTGTCCGTGTTTCGGCCAAGCTAAGATTTCAATATTATAGCGATGAGGAGCATTTTAGTTGATCGATGAGGACTGTAAGTTACATGAGTGTTGACGGTGCTATGGACAGTGAATGATGAGTCATCTACGGAACACAGTCAGGCGGCTGGTCGTGAATAACGCTACATCTACGGAACACGGTCAGGCGGCTGGTCGTGAATAACGCTATGTCAGCAACGTGAACTTTGGGCATCGATGGGTGCCACCATTGCCTAAGGGTAAGGGCCAGTATGATAAGTGGCTACAAAACTGATAAGCCTATAGCGGCTTAGCAGAATATATAGCATAAGTTGGCCGCTTAGCGGCATTGTACACATTGCGTGTACATTGTGGGAGGAATGGTACATGACACCGATGGCGTTGCAAACAGAACGCATTTGGTAACACCCACCACTACTGACATCGCACCCTAGACAAACTGAGAAACAAGATACAATAATCTGCTGATTACTGAAGGATGAATGTGAGTGTGTGAATGAGTGTGTTTGAATAAGAATGAATGACTATGACTAAGAATGAGTTAAGGTGATTGAGAATGATTGAGGATGTGGTTGTGAGGAGCGGATTATCCGCGCTACCGATCGGGGGTTAGGTGAGTGATAGCATGTCTCCGCCTTCGAAGACACCTAGCTTATATCGGCTGCGGGAGCCGCGAGCATATGCAACCGCGGTTAATCTGGATTGTTGATCCTGGACCGCAGTAGACTGTACCTAACTGCCTGAAACATCAAACGTCATTAGCTTCGTTGTTTCGCAAGCAAGTAGTAAACTGTTCCACTGTTACGCCTCCTTCGGATAAGCCATCGTTGGTGTGCTACTGAAGTCAAACCTGAATCGCTATTGAGCCTGAAACATTGAACATAATTGATCCTTAATACTGAAACATACAGTAGTAGAAAGATACAAATATATAGAAAGAAATAGCAACTATTCTGGGAATAGTTGCTATAAAATGAATCAATTTCAGAAAGTGCACGAGCATGCTGAAGCCGTAAACACTTACGGTTCTCGATACATGCAGGAAGTGAAATAGAATCGGTCGCAGCGTTTAGTTGCACAACCCAAATTTCTGTCAGTTCCCCAGATAATCTGCAGCATGTTGTAAATTCGCTCGCCTAGTCAATACTATTAATTATGTTTAACGTTTTGTTTTCTGCCTTCTATAATTTTCATGGCAGGTTACTAAGCGAAATACTGTGCTGTGGCAAAAAGATCGATAGAAATAGCTGAGAGACAGGCGAAACGAAGGACCCACATGGTGTGGTGGTGAATGCGTTACTCCCCGGAAAGGATAATAGCGCGTTCGTTCCCCACCATAAACACCTGCGGTCCAGAGTTTTGCAACTATTAATTGTTTTATTAAAAAATTATATCTGCAATTTCCAATAAAGGAAACTCAAAAAATCCAACTTGGAAGAATAACGGAAGGAAACAGGCGGTAGATTAGGAAGTTATGTTATCAACAATAGCTCATGTTAAGAATAAACCGGCGCGCTTGTGCAACTGTACGGTTGTCATTCGGCGACCTTCTTCGTAATACTGGCAGATTAAGTGTTTCATAAGAGATCACAAACCTTGGTAACCCTAAGCACCATTCTATGATGACGTTGGCTTACTGGATACGTAAATATCTTATCAGAAGGAATGCCATTTCGTTTCGAGCTCGCTACTCCAAGTTGCAACAGCCTGTGAATGGTAAATGAAACACTGGACATTTTTTGCGTGAGACTGTACCATTACCCAGGTTTTCGATCCTTGTGAATTTTTTTGGAACATAAATCATAACGATTTTGTTGTCGCTCACGTTCTGAATAACCTCCAAAGGAGAGGTCGAGGTTGTACCGAGGACATGAATGTTTTCATCGTAACCAGGTCGAGAAGCAGGTGATGACACCCGTTTACTGCACGTTCCTACGCTGTTGAGTGCAAGCTGTTCTGCTGTGCAGTCGTATTTCTAGAGGAATAGTGTTAAACAGACGAAATACAATAAAAGAAAAATGAGTGGTAAGAAGCGAAGCCGAAAGCCCTACCAGCCTATACATGCGTGAAGACGGCAGTGCTTTTTCATCAGGATTTTCGCCGTTTATTGCTAGACCTCTGGCTACTAGGGATCTAAAAAGGCGTTTTTACGAAGTAGATACGCACCAAACAATATCATTGTACCTAAATAATAGGGTTTACATAAACAAGCACCTAAAGTTGTTGTGCACTCTTAGAGCACTTCTTCTGAAGGAGTCGCTTATTATACCATCATGCGGACATATTGTGCACCCGCTTGTGGTTGTCATTGTACTCGGCATTTTTGTCATTGGCACGTTAGACGTTTCTGTTGATATTCTCGTCGGTTCTGCTATCGTCGTTACGTTTGATGTTATAGTTGACGCTATGGTTGCTGGTGCTGTTGTTGTCGCTTCCGACGTTTGTGTAGAGATTGTTGTCGGCTGTGTTGTCGTTGCCATTTCCGAGGTTTTCGTAGACGTAGACGTCGGCTGTCCCGTCGTTGTCTCCTGCGATGTTTTTGTAGACATTGTTGTCGGCTGTCCCGTCGTTGTCGCTTCCGAGGTTTCTGTAGACATCGATGTCGGTTGTGGTGTCGTTGTCGCTTCCGGGGTTTTCGTAGACATCAATGTCGGCTGATTTGTCGTTGTCGCTCCCGAGGTTTCCGTAGACATTGTTGTCGGCTGTGTTGTCGTTGCCACCTCCGGTGCTTCTGTAGACATTGTTCTCGGTTGCGTTGTCATTGTCATGTTCGTCGTCTCTGTTAACACTGTGGTTGGTTGCATTGTCGATGTTCTGTCCCATGTTGTGGACTGTGCTGTTGTGGTTAACGAGCTTGCTGAGTTCGCGCAAAGCCCAGATTCACAGATTGCCGACTGAAACACCATGCAATCCGTGCATGGAATTCCAGAAGTACACATTGCCGTGCCAACTTCTACATTTCTGAAATATCTCTCTAAGTGGTTTCATGGTAATACTCGAAGAAGTTTTGCCCTTTTTTGGCTTACGCTTGGGGGAAGACACATGCCACTGATGCACGATCACCATACCAAGTACTAGAGCAGCCCACAGTATTTGTGTTTGATCGGATCAACTAAAAGTGAACTAAGTAAGTGCTATTTACATTAGAACTATCTATATGACAAGTTGTGCTCACATTGGCAAAATTACGCAGTACTGGATTTCCATCGAAGTGGTTGTTTGCTGGCCATTTAGCACTTTTAATCTCTGTCCACAGCAGCACTGCTGATTCGATCGGACTTCTCAGTGTGGAACCAGGAGTGCCTGGTTTGAAGCTAAACGTCCTGATTAGAATCAGTGGAAGAAAAGAAAAGTGGTGTTGTATATTTAATAACTATTTTCAGTGCTCACTAGTGATGTTCGGCATTTTCGGCACGCAGAATTTCTTAACAGCCATTGCCTCCAAATTACAGTCCTATTTCTGGAATACTCAGCATCGGAATTCGTCATTTTCCAATTGCAGTTCAGTTAATCGCTGCTCATTGGTGGTGAGCTCCATTAGTGTTTCTCGTCTTCCTTCGGGAACACTATTTATTGAACTCAGAAAGTGCTGTTAACACATTGTGTGTAAATATATTAATTTAAGTCTTCATTTACGTCGTGTTTCACAGTCCCAGAGCTCACCTCTTTGAGGCGGTAACTCGTTAAGCACACATGGAGACATTGTAGAATTTACGGACATACCCGCCTACCGTAATATAAAAATTAAAGAGCAGAATATGGAAAGTCACCAATTTCATCATGTCGCTCGAAGATGGCATGGAGTTCATTGCCTGGAATTCTCCGAGTGCTACAATTGAGCGTATTCTGTTAATCGAATTCAAAACTCGCTGTCTAGTTTGGTCGCTCAAAGATTTGTCTTCGCAAAGAAACGCTTAAATGGGAAGTTAATTAGTTTTTATTCCATCGACAACAATGTTTTAGCTTAATAAAGAGTGGAGAAAAAATTACACAAACACTAACGCGTCTCGTATGCACCACAGCAAAAATCGAGGCAGTTGAAGCTGAAAAAAATCTATGCTAATTTTCTACTAAAATATGTTAACTGAATAGCCTGACAAACATTCACCCAATGCGACACTGAAAACGAAGAGTGTTGCCTTCAGCATGTCGGAGGCTTACGGTCAACAACGCCACTGCAGCCACCTTTTTATGCGCTTGCAACGCAGTGGTTTTCTAAATAATGCAAATCCAATAACATAACAGTTGAACAACAATAGAAATAATCCGTTTAAAAGTCTGTAACTTTATGCATTACGCCCATAGGCTGTGAACTATTCGTTCATGACAGTTAGCAATGGAAGAAGTTGTTGAAAGGATAGAACGTTACCTGGCTATGCAGAGTGGAACGAGACGCCGTTTCTTATTTTTCAAAGACATAGTGGTACTATTTGAGCTTTTATACAAAAGCTGAAACAACATACATATATTGTACGCCACTTAATTCCTTACCTTCTTTTATTCTTAACCTGCAGTGGGACCTGTGTGACCATTAGGAGATCGTTATTCAAAAGAAGGAATAGAAGGCTTACTTCTAGCCATGTTATTGATACGAATATTAGACTCGTTATCAGCTTGGATTTCCAAGCTAGTAATCATCTGCTGTACATAGCAGCACCTCGCAAGCAGACATCCTCACTCTGGAAAGGCTACATCCTGCTGTTGTTGGGGAGGCAAAAAAAGAAAATTGGCTCTCTTCACCATCTTCTTTGCGTCTGGCTAAGGCCCATAAAGTGTACCCTTTTACCTGCCAAAATTTTTTAAAGTTTTTATTACTGTCACTCTTTTTAATGTACAATAACCTAGCGATAAACAGCGATTCTGAAGAGGTTCAATAAAGCAATTATATCGGTGAGCTCCTCGAAATTGCACCTGTGCTTTATAAATCCTTTATTCGCATTCTTTAATGCAGTGATATTAATTCCAAGTGTTCGATAGGAATTTCAAGGAATCACCATTGCATCGTTGAAGAAACTGTGCGATTATCTTTAAGCTCAGTTTATATTCCACATAAATCTTCTTCATTCGGCTTCGGTACCTCCGCCACACGCTCTGTAGTTGCGTTACACGATTCTTCTATCTGGCCACACTGCGATCGTTCTCTGGTTGGAATCTAGTTAAAAGTAGTCGCTATGAATGCAATGTTTCCTATGTTCCTCTTTCCTCGTTTCTTCCTAATTACCGCTCTTTAGGTTTTGCCTATAGGTTCAATCATTATGTCCTTATATGAAGTGATAAAGGCAAAACACTGTTGATGCATTTAAAGTGGTATTCGTATCCATAAAGGACTCATAGATGTGCACTGACGTATTTGGAAACTTGATGTGATCGTCTATGGACTTAGGTGTGATATTTATTCTTAACTCATCGTGAACAATGCGAATAGTCGAGTATCACCGGTTGAAAATAATCTGTTTACAGTGTAAATCAAATAAATTTTGCACGGTGATGTCACTGTAGTATTTTTGAACTCATAGTGTTAGTAACATGCAACAGCAGGATGACGTTCCCAAAGCTCTCGAATTACCAAAACAATATAATAGATTCTGGTGTCAGCAACAATGTAGACTGATGCCTAAAGTACAAAGTTGGTAAAGTCACCACCACAACACTAGACCGAAATTCTCATTGTGTCTCATTGCTTCTAGGCAGGTTCAGTAATGTTTGTATGAATCTTTATTATGGTATCAGCTCTGAACTTTTTTCATATGTATATAAGCTCTTATGAGTTGTTGGTTTTTGAGCTGATGCGGGGTACGTGTAAGCTGTGGTTATTGCTGTTATTCGGTGGCTGACGTTTCGGCGACTTCGCTTTCTTTAGAGCCTGGACCTATTATATGTAACAGTGGCCTTATAATTCCCTGAAAAGTCCATAATTTTAACGAGGATTTAACATATAAATAGAAACCATTTGTCCAAAAGCTATTCACTGTGCTGCCCGCAAGTGGGATCACCTGTGTGTTGTTCATGTGGGTGACGTGAGAGACCAACCCAGGTCAGAAAATGAATTTGAAATAAGTGTCCAGGTCACGTGTGATAGTGAGGCATTCGTCTTTTTGGCTAATCTCCGAACCTCTGAAATATATCCGAAGCGCCTCAAGAGTCTTGCGCTTTGATGCTTTTCATTCCTTCGTCAGGATCCGTGCCCTCACTTCAATATCATCATCACTGTGCTTTTGTTACCTATGTGTACCTACAAGAATGCTTTGACGAATTTTCACTTTCCCATTTAAGTGTTTTTTATGCGGACACAAAGCGGTCCACCCGTTTCTCCAAGGTATTCCTCATCGCATGACTTACATGAAATGAAGCATAATGTACCTGAACTCATGCAACCCTCGTCTCTCCCGTCAGGTCAGACCACACAATTTTCTGAGCTGCACGAGTAATCATAAAGACGCTTACGAAGTAACTGACGGCGTAGGGTATCGGGTGGAAAGTCAATAACCCGCTACTGAATTTTCAAAACCGCTTTTTCTTTAAAACATCTTCAACGTATTTCGTTCGATACACAGAGATGCTTGAAAGGAATCTTACTTAAGTTTGTAACATCATTTTGAACGATAATTCTACCTTTTTATTATGCCCGTGCTGCTTCTCCTTCGAAGCCACGAGAAATGGCTACTTTTTGTGGCGAGATTTTTTCTTTCCTCATCTGCTGTGCTCACATTTTCAGCTGTTCGGTACAAGTTTTTAATGAGTGCTCTTTTCATGCATAAAAGATGAGAGGAGAGGTTTTTTTTATGAAACAAAAACCGACTTCTCGATCGCAATGATCCTGTTTCAAAAACTATAAATAAAATATAAACTATAAATAAAATAAAGTATAAACAGTTTCGTCGTGGTGGCTGGGCAGCTCGAAGACACTTTCCGAAGACGAATTTACACAGAGAGAATGTTACGGTAAATTTTTGACGGTTTATGCATAAGATTTTGCTCTGCAGAATAGATCTTCATCCGTGCTTAACAATTCAGCCAATGTACAATTTGCATAGTTTACGACGAATTGTGGAATGAGCTTTACACCTACGTTTATTAGCAGCTGCTCTGTTTCCTCAAATAAGCTAGCACCTATACATTGACACTTTTACCGTTCTGGCAGCTTTTAAGTGCTCTTACTGCGCTCTGATTCATTCAGTTTATATGGGTCCATAATGCTCAAATTAACGGCAAGCAAATATAACAGATGACTGCGAAGAAGTAAGAAAAGGGAAAAGTGAGGAAGATTGAAAACAGCAGTAATTTTAAAGAAAATTTCTTTCATACAGTGGGTGCGTTGCAGAATCGTTTCATGTAACTGAAGAGCACTGAGGGAAGTAATGCAACGAATGGCGATTTGTGTAGGAGATCTTGGAATGCAAGAAGTAACAAGAAAAATAAAAAACTGGGGAAATAAAATCATAACAAGGCAAGTGGTAAGTTATAATACAGTAACACTGCAAAATAATAATATAATGGTACGAAGTTATACAACAATATATTGGCAAAACACTGGACGAAGAACAGCCATGAGAGCGAGCAGGACTCCGAAAAGGATTCAGTACGATGGACCACATCCACACGGTAGCAACACTTACTGAAGTATTGCGAAAACACGAGAGACCACTCTGTCCCACTTTCGTCGACTTAAAGAAAGCTCATCACTCAGTTTATACAGAGGCAGTCATGGAGTTTCTGGGCGACCATGGCTTCCTCTCTCAGCATAGAAAGATTTTTCGTAAGCTATATAGAAATGTCACAATAGAAAGTTCAGCGTTCTACAGAGATATTAACATCGAGGTAAA